GCACCTCCGGTCCCTTTCACGTCTGCAGCACCTCCGGTCCCTTTCACCTCTGCAGCACCTCCGGTCCCTTTCACCTCTGCAGCACCTCCGGTCCCTTTCACCTCTGCAGCACCTCCGGTCCCTTTCACGTCTGCAGCACCTCCGGTCCATTTCACCTCTGCAGCACCTCAGGCCCATTTCACCTCTGCAGCACCTCCGGTCCCTTTCACCTCTGCAGCACCTCCGGTCCATTTCACCTCTGCAGCACCTCCGGTCCATTTCACTTCTGCAGCATCTCTGGTTCTTTTCACCTCTGGAGCCTCTCTTGAATACGCCTCCTCTCCTCTGACCTTGCTCCCACCCTGGGGCAAGCCCTCCTCACCTCACACCTGGACTATTGAGGTAGCTGCTAGGTGAGGAGGGGGAATCTTCCTGCCTCAGTCTCTTCCTCCTCCAGTTCATCTTCCATTCAGCCACCAAAGTGATTTTCCTAAAGCACAGGCCTGATCACATCATCCTGAACTTCATAAGCTCCAGGCACTCTCTATGACCTCCAGGATCAAACCCCTTTGGCATTCTAAGTCCTTTGCAGCCTGGCTACAAACAGCCCTTCTAGGGACTCAATGCTTCTGGCAGCCAGGTCAATCTGCTGGGCTTCCCCACAGTGTGTATCTGTAGACAGGTTGTTTATATCCCTGGAATGGTCACTCTCCTTACTTCCACCTTCCTGATCTAACTGGGTTAGACCAGATGGTGCTGAGGCCCTGCCCCTCCAACAGAAATCTTGGGGTTCTATGATTTGTGAGCCTGCCCCAACACACACACCACTGCAGCCGAGGGCACGGACCTGCACCTCATCTGGCTCTTGGCCAGCCACAGCTGGAGTCTGAATTCCGCCTCCTGCACTTGCTCACTAGGAGCACAATCGTGGGCGGGTCATCTCATGCGTATGAGCCTCAGTATGTCTTCTAAAAAATGGGGACAACCATACTTGCAACCACAGCCATCTCAGAGAGCCTTGGCTGAGCAAGTTTGTGCATGCCTGTCAGATGCTTTGTGAATCCTCACAGTTCTGGGACTGGAGGACACAGGTCTGGCTCGCACCCGTGTTATCTGGCCAGCCCAGGCTTCCTATCTGTCTTCTCAGCCACCCTCAGAGACAGATCGCCCTCCATCTACAAAGACGGAAAGTGGGAAGCCTGTAGGCCCCAAAGGCATGGATGGACCCAACCCTAAATGAACAGAAAACAGTTAACTGCAAGGGCAGTGGGTAGCAATCAGGGAAGGCTTCATGTAGGAGGATGCTGTGAGGCAAAGGGGAAGAGGGACGGCCTTTCAGTCAGTGCAAAGACATGGAGATGGGAGGCTGTGTATGCGCAGAAATGCTAAATGGGATGGGAATCATGAGGGGAACAACAGGTGAGTCCCAGGGAAAAATCCCTGAGTTACGGAGGGGTTCGAGGAGGGGACCACAAGGAAGCAGTGTCAGGTCATTGAGTCCAACCCCTCCCCTTTACAGATGAGGAGTAAAAGGACGTGCCCAGGGCTGAACCTCACGCTCCAGATACAAGCAGATGCTGCCTCGGCCATGCATCATTGGTGGAGCTACGAAAGCAATTGTGCATACGCGATGAGGCCTGTCCCTGCTTAGTCAGAGACACCCCTGTGCGGTACATGTGCCAAGAAGCCTGATACCAGAGCAGTCACAGCCAAGGGTGGTAGGGAGATCGCAGCCTCTGAACAGCACAGGGGTCCCACTGTCATCTTGGGGCAGCTGCCTGGCGCTTGCCCAGGCTGTGCAGCCCGGAGCACCCAGACCTGCCATCCCTTTGGACCAACCCTAGCTCAACTGCTTTCTGTGGCAGGCCAGCCCTCAGTCTGGGCCCAGGGGTACGTGCTCAGTTATCCCCAAACCAAGCCCCTGTGATCATCCGCCCAGAGTCGTCTCAGCCTCCTCGGCCCTGGGAGGCCATTCTGGAGTCTCTCCATCCAGGACTGCCCCTTTTCAGGCCCACAGACCTTTAGCCAGTAGCTGTGGCCCTCCACCCAGTTTTCAAGGCCCTGTATGGCACAATGCCACGAGGCTCCAGCACCTAACCCCACCCCTGCGAGCCTTTGCCTGGACTGCCTGGTGTGCCCTCTCTTGACTTTCAGGCCCTCTCTATAAGGGACCCATCATGTCATATTGTGTTTGAACACCTTGGACCCATTGATAAGGCCGTGCACACAGTTAGTGCACAAAGTGTCATGCCTGGAGTCTGGAACACCTGGACTGAAATCCTGCCTCAGACATTTCTTAGCTTCCCAGTGACCCTAGCAAGTCACTTCACCGCTGCCTGCCTCAGTTTCCCCATGAGTAACATGGGGACGAGAATGGCACCCCCCTCCCCGCACTGGGGTCAACATCAGACGAGACCTTATTTATAAAGCGCTTAGCAAACCTCCCAGCTCCTGAGATATGTGAGCTAGGATTAGCCCCGTGCTCAGACCACCCAGCCAGGGGCCGAGGTCAGGGGGAGATGGACCCCTCTCCTTGGCCCCGAATCTATTCAGTGGCCGGGACAGTCAGTAGGCATAGGAGAATGCCAGCCTCCTGCTGAAACCGCATTGCCCAGTGAGGTCAACGGCACGAGAAGCCAGGCCAGGCAGCCAGCTCTAATCTTCATTACCTGTCGCTGAGCTGACGTCCCCAGGTGTACTTGACAGAACTTGACCGCCTGCTCCAGGGCAGCGCCCTCATCCACCTGGGAAAAGGGAGGAAGGAAGCCTCAGCTCAGGAGAGAGGGCCCACTGAGGGCACAGCTCTGACCAAAGCCAGTGATTCCCCTGAGGAAAGAGCATGGAACAAGGCAGCAGGGACGGTGACCCTGGAGCCCAACAAGACGAACCTCCAGACAGAGGCCTCTGGCTCTTCCATGCACATCCCCTGGAACCCCGGACCTCGGCCTTGACTCTGGCTGGGAGTCTCTGACCAACCACGGTGTCACGAGTCCCCAGGTTTGCTCCGGCTCTTTCCCTCCACCCTGGGGTGCCCTTAGCTCCCAGGCCCAACTCCCTATGGGGGCCTCTGACCTAACAGAGCAGCATGAATGCCCCCACCCTAACGCCGGCTGGGGCCTTCTGACTACAGCGTCGCAAGCCCCAAAGCTTGCCCCACCTTTCCCCTCCTCCTCCATGCACCTCCAGTTCCCAGTCCCAACTCCCTACAGGGACCCCAAAGGCAACTCTGGACCCCCGGTTACCTGCTTGATGAGCATGTAGGTCTCAGACATAATCTTTTCAATCTTTCCCAAGTCGTAGGCCATGACCTTCTGGCCGTGCTGCCAAACTCGGTAAGCGTCTAGGAGGAGACTCTTTCCAGACTCGGGGTCATCCAGTAACTTCCTCTTACGGCTGGGCCTCTGCCCAGCCTCATCGAGAGCTGACTGGCCCGAGCCCTTGGTCAGCAGTGGCAGTGGCTGTGGCGGCAGCTGTGGCTGGCGAGAGCCGATGCTCAGGTCCTCCAGGGACAGCTCAGCGGGGCGGCCGTCTGGCCCTCTGTCCTTGGGTGTGCGGGCAGGTGGAGGCCTCTCTGCCTCGGGGTGCCGGAGGGCCGCCTCAGCCCTTTCTGGTTCCAGTTCCATGGGCTCTGTGGAGCTCGTCCGGGGACGTTCTTTCAGAGCGCCAGGGTCAGCTACGTCCCCAGCCAAGGGGCCGTAGCTGGGCACTGCCCCCTTGCCCCCGCCCCCAGCGTCAGACGGAGCTGGCTTGTTAGGAAGGACCTCATCACCGTCCTCGGCACTCGGCTTGTTGGAAGCGCCTGTCGTCATCCTCTGGCCTTCCAAGCCCTGGGGAAGAGCAGCGAACAGTCAGAGCCCATGCGGCAGGGCGCTCTCCTGGCAAGCGAGGGACCGCCGAAGCCGAGCACCCCGATGGGGGTTCGTTCCCAGAGACTCAGCGGGCCTCACACGAGCGGCCTCTGGGGACACAGACAGAGCCGCATGCCTGCCCCCAGGGAGCTCCAGGGCAGAGCAGTGCAAAGGCTTGGAGAGGGGAGACGAGACTGAGGAAAAGGAGGGGACTGGCACCATGGCTGCGGACTAGAAAGGCCATTGAGCAAGGAAGGCTCGGCACCAAGAGAAGCCTCAGGAGAAAGGAAGCTCCCCGTCCACGGGGTCATTCTAAGACCCTTCCAACTCAGACCTGCTGGGGCACTCGGGTGGCCTGGAGATCTCCTTCCCAAACTCCGACTCGTCGCGGGCCCCTGCACCCACAGGCCGGCTGGGCGCTAAGGGGCAGGCTCAGGCCCAAGCAGACAGCAGGCTTGACTCGGGAGGCCAATAGCAGCACCCGTCTGCGCTCACCTCCGTCAGCTCACTCAGCGTCTCCTCCAGCACCTTCACGGTAAGGACGAAGGCCCGCTGCGCCAGGACCTGGCGGTCTGCATCCCGCAAGTATTTCCTATGGCATGGTGATACTGCATGTCAAGCCGCCTGGCCAGGGTTCGAGCCTCCACACCCTGACCAGCGCGGGGCCGAGCGCACACTGAAACCCAGCACAGCCACGAACATCAGTGGCTCCCAAAGCCCGCGCTTCAGATGGGCTGGCTCCCTCCCTCCCACGTGGGCTCAGCTGGGCCCTACGGGGCTCCACACACAGGCAATGAGTCAGGGAGTGAGGGGAGGGTCCGTTCTTAGGAAACACACAGCAGGGAAGCCATCTCGTGCTGTGGACAGTTCTGGCCCTTCCCCCTTAGTCCAGGGATCACACAGGTTGGCCCCTGCCTCTCTCCCGGGCCCCTCGCTGCATTTCATACTGGGGATGGCACGTCTTGTGCACTTAGAAACGGGACACAGTCCGCAGCCTCCGACCCGCCACGGCCCCAGCATGGAGCCAGCCCCTGGGAGCACTCTGTGTAACCAGATGGACCCAAGCCCGCTCGCTGCCTCTCTCCACAGATGGCCAGAAGCCCCCCCCCAAAGGGGCACGTGGTTCTCCAGCCGCACGCCTCGCCCACCTTGCCCACTTACTTCCCCTGGTCGGGGGTCCTCTGCAGCATTGAAGACACCCTCAGCAACGTGCCGTAGTCCTTTAGCTGGGAGAGCACCTGTAGCAGCAGGACAATGGAGCGGTTCATGTGAGAAGCGAAGCTGCCCGGGCGGTCAATCTCATCCACGGGGATGCGCCAGATTCCCTACAGAGAAACCAAGGCAGCAGGAATGAAGGGGGAGCTGCGCAGCTCCACCAGAAAGGCCCCTGCTCCCGTGGTCCCCAGAGGTCTTCTGCCTCGGGCAGGCCAGCCTCCCTCGGGCCCCAGCGCGCTGAATGCCCAGAACAATGGCTTTCCACACACACGGGGCAGGAGCTCCCAAGACACTGCCACTGGTGGGGGTTCTGTGGGCACCGAATCTGATACTGGAGAGGGCAAGGGGGCTTTTTCAACCAGAGCTAGGACTCCAGAATGCTCAGCAGCCTAGAGGCGGCCATCCTCCTTCCTGCCACACCTACACCAGTCTGGAGGGTCTGGCAGAAACACGCTTTTCTGCTGAGGAAAACATTTAATATCAAACAGACAGAGAGAAGAAGGGTGAGGTCTCAGGTTTGGGGGTGGGCTAGGGCAGCATCAGTGTGGTGGGGACGCCTGAATCTGCAGTCAGCTCTGAGTCACGTGTCCTCTGGCAGCAGAGAAGAGAGCCCTTGTGAACCGTGAGGCTCTCGGCCGACTGACATCGCCTCTCGCCCGACTGACATCTCCTCTCGCCCAGGTGTTCATAAGATTCCAGGACCTCAGGGCTAAGTATGAAGTGCCTAGTCTGTGCTCCATAGACGCAGGGGTCCCTGGCTGCAAAGAGCTTCACTCTGGGGGAGACACCCAGGGACCGAGAAGTCAATAGATCTTAGGGGTCATCAGGCTGGGCGCCACCTTAAGCTGGAGTGACCACAGAGAAGTCTGGGGCACATGCCATGCTGGGATCCGCCATAAAAGAACAGGGTGACTAAGCCTGGAGAATGGAAGACAGAGGCGAGACAGCAGCTATCACCAAGAGGTGATAGAGCTCTGTCCAACAGCTGGGCCCTCCCTCCCCGGACCACTTGCTGTGATTGGAAGATTCCAGCCAAGGGCCCATACTCCAGGCGAGTACCTGCGAGACCGTGGGCAAGGCATATTCCCCCACAAGGACAGGGCTGCACCTGCCCAGGGTTACTGAGAGACTGGCTGAAGAAGCTGTGCCCACTGGGGACAGAAGAGAAAATAGGGGTCAGCCAGAGTGGAGACTGACCTGTCCAGCTGACCCAAGGTCTCAGGGAGGCCAGGAGCTGGCTGCCCTTATGGTAGCTCCCTTCCCTCGCCCAGGCCAACCACAGCCCAACAATAGACCTGTCCAAGGGACACAAGGCCGCCACCATGGAGTCAGGGAGACTGGAGTTCCAATCCAGCCTCAGACCCTTACAGTTCCCTCAATCGCAAAACACAGATGACAGCAGCACCCACCTCAGGGTTGTTGTAAGGACCGAACGAGATGATATTATAAAGCATTGAGCACAGTGCCTGGTACACGGTAGGTGTTTAATAAATACTTCTTCTGCCCTCCCCCCTCCTTCCAAACAGCTTAAGCATTCACAGAAGTCAGTTGAACAGCACATCTGCACAGAGGGCAAAGGCGAAGGTGAAATAATTCAATGGGAAAAACAAGGCAGCCAAGAAAGGGCATTTAACAAGGCCAGGAAGTGAGGATAGGAGGAGGAGCCGGCTGACGGGGGCTGAGGCTGGCATGTGCCCAGAGACCTCTCCACAGGCTGGGTCCCCCCACGATCCAGGAGAGAGCTAAGGGGCAGGGCCTGGGACAGAGCCAGGGAAGGGGCCCGACAAAGCGTAGGCCAGGAGCCAGCCCAGGGGAGTGGCCTGGGAGTCGGGGCTGGCTCCTGGCAAGCTCATTGGATGGGCAGATGACACCAAGCTGGGAGAAGGACCAGGAATCTGCCCTTGGTAGCATGGGGCTCCCTTCACCAACACAGAGATGGCCAACTCTTGACAGTCTTAGGGAAATACTGGAGCTGAAAAAAGTGACTCCCCTCTGGCCAACCTTGTGGGGGTGACCTTCTCAGAATCTGTACCTCCTAGACAGGAGGACAGACAGACATACAGGCAGAGGCAGAAAAACGGATAGATGAACAGGCAGACAGACACAGAGAGATGGACATAAAGACAGATAAAAAGAAAGACAGAGAGATGGACAGATGGATAGGCAGACAGATGCACAGGCAGACGGACAGACAGGCAAAGAGATGGACAGATGAACAGGCAGACAGACAAATGGACAGGCAGATGGACAGAGAGGGAGATGGCTGGGCCCACTCAGCAAAGTGTTTCTGCTTGCGACAGGCTCAGACCAGATGGCCTCTGTGGGCTCCCCTCTCTTTGGCATCAAGGTATTAGGCCGACTGAGGGAGAGAAGGAATCAGCGGTGTAGTCACAGACGTTCCAGGAACAGGGGCCAGGTGGCTCAGCAAACATGCTACTTCAAACCCTGAGCAGACTGCGAGAGGGGCTGCCAGGGAGGCAGCAGTGACAAGAGGCCTGGGATCTCTGCTGGGCTCTTCTGCACCCACAGCAGGGGGTCTTCCTTAGTTCATCTCCCTCACAGAGGGGCTGCCAGGAGACTCGGCATGGGACACAGGAACCCAGGTTTGGGTGGCGGCAAGCCCTCTTCCTCCATCTGGTCATTCCCTTATCGCTTCTCATCCAGCTGCCTGCCCCGCCTGAGAGGGGAGTGGGGCACTGCCCTCTTGTCCCTCTCTGTCAGAGTGTTGGGTCCCTGCTCCTCTGCCATTTGTGGGACCCACCCAGTTCCTGTCTTCCCCACCTGATAATCACTAAGAATAATAATAAACAGCCAATCTTTCCACAACACCCCAGGGTTTGTTAAGTGCTCTTTTAATCCTCTCAACAACCAATCAGTTATTATCTTCACTTAAAAGAGACATCAGATGACATGCCCAAGGCTAACCAACTAAGTGTCAGAGACAGGATTTGAACTCAGATTTTCTTGACTCCCAGGCCAGTGCTCTAGCCCCATACCTCCATGATGCTGGTCCATAAGACTAAGGGGGACAGATTAAATGGGCTCCTCTTCTCCCTACCCTGGAAGGAGTAGGAGCCAGAGGGCCTGGGCAGTGTGCCATGAGGTGACCATGCCCAGGCCTTTAGGCACTGCTCCCACATCTGTGCCAACACAGGACCCTGGTGTTGGCCTCTCCTACCTTCCCTCTTACTGTCGAGGGCATTTCCATCCCTCAGGCTCCCAAACTAAGAGTCACATGAGGCTCTTCACTGTCTCTCACTGCCTACTGTCCACCACCCCACCCCATCCCAAGCTGTTGCCAAGGCCTGTTCATTTCACCTCTACAGCATCTCTGGTTCATTTCACTTTTCCAGTATCTCTGGTCCATTTCACCTCTGCACAATCTCATCTCTGCTACATCTCTGGTCCATTTCACCTCTCCAGTATCTCTGGTCCATTTCACCTCTCCAGCATCTCTGGTCCATTTCACCTCTGCACAATCTCATCTCTGCTACATCTCTGGTCCATTTCACCTCTCCAGTATCTCTGGTCCATTTCACCTCTCCAGCATCTCTGGTCCATTTCACCTCTCCAGGATCTCTGGTCCATTTCACCTCTGCACAATCTCATCTCTGCTATATCTCTGGTCCATTTCACCTCTCCAGAATCTCTCCAATATGCCCCTTCTTTTCCTCTGACACCACCTCCATCCTGGTGAAGGCTCTCATCACCTCACAACTGGTCTATTGCAATAGCTTCTAGGGAGTCTGCCTGCTTCAAGTCACTCCCTACTCCAGTCCATTCTCCAATCAGCCATTAAAGTGATTTTCTAAAAGCCCAGATCTGACCATGTCATCCTCCTACTCAATAAACTCCAGTGGCTCCCTACTGTCTCCAGGATCAAACAAAAAATGCTAGGCTTGGCATTCAGAGCCCTTCACAACCCAGCCCCCTCTCACCTCTCCAATCTTCTCATGCCTCACTCCCCCCCACATCCTCCTCAATTCCATGACAAGCTCCTCCATCCCCAGACTGTGCTTTTACACCAGCTGTGCCTTCTTGTGTAGAATGCACTCCCTCTTCCTCTTCACCTCCTGGTTTACTTCAAGGCTCAGGGGAAGCAGAAGCTTTTCCTCTCCCTCTCTCCAAAACTTGAACTTCCTCTCTCTCCAAACTAACTGGTAGCCATTTTAAAAATATTTGGGGCATTCTTATATACAGGGGTTCCTGCAGCCTCCCATCCCATGAGTACACACTGGTCAGCAAAGTGCCAAGGAGGGGCTTCATGATTTTTGACTAATTATCCAAAGGACTCCGGTTCAGAAGATCATCTCCCTAAGGGGAAGGGCATGGTCAGATTCAAAAAGATTCAAGGATCTCAGTGAACCCCAAGCTCCAGAGCAATCGTCAGGGTGGGGTACGTGGCAGACTGACACCTTGCTCCTGGGCTCTATGGGGAGGGTCCCCAGGCCCTCCATTCTGTCCTCCACAGACCTCCTCTGGAGGATGTGTCCAGACTGCCCCAGGAACACAATGGCTGCTGCCCTCAGGGAGGTCAAGTAGTCCCGTCCAGAAGGACTGGATGCATGCTGGGTCCCAGCAGGTACCACCAGGAGCAAAGGGTATACCGAGCTCTCACGGGAACCTGCCATATGAGTCTCCATAGCGCTCCTTCTATTCACACCCAGATGAGTCTCCTTCTCGTCAAGTTCTGCTGATTGTGGGGGTAGGTGGAGAAGACCAGGGGAGGCTTCCTGGAGGCAGCACCTGCTCTGAGCCTTGAAGGACAAGAACCTGAGCAGGGAGAGGTGTGGGAGAGGCCATTCCTGCAGCCGCCCATGGAGTGAGGAGGGGGCAGCGAGGGGACCAGATAAAATGCCCTTCTCTGATGCCAGAAGACTACAGCAGCCCAAATCCCAGCTCTGCCACCAACTGCTGTGTGACCTAGCAGAAGGCAACTAGCCTTGTCTGAACCACCTGATCTCTACTATCCTAGGGCTTTGGGTGGGAAGGCCTGAAGGGCAGCAGCAGGAAAGAAAATGAGGAAAGGGAGGCCAGAGCCCAAAGAACAGCACGCGCGTGCACACACCAACCTTGGGTGGCTTTGCTCAGCTTGCTGGGGATGCATTTT